TGAAGTCCACACATCTTAAAGTTGTCAAGGTTGAGAAACACTGAGCATAGTATATTGAATAGTAATAGTATAGAGTATAAACATTGTCTTAGTATATTGTAACAGTAATTATCATACTAATAGTATAAAGATAGGAATAGAATATAGGAAGTGCTCACATATCACTTTTATATGTTTGTTTTTACAAAATGAAACATCTCCCCAACCCTTACAGGGAGATAAAAAAGAAACCACCGTCCAGGGTCCAGTGCTTTTGTGTCTCTCTTGAGTCTGGGCCAATCTAGTTGGGCATGGTTTAAAAAAGAACCCGTGACAGGCAGACCATTCCCTAAGCAAGGCTGGGATGGCAAAGGCTTTCCTGCTCGGCCTTGATCAAGGAGGCCGCATTCTCTTCGGAGGACTTAAGCCTGTAGTATGCACCCTTTCTTAGGCCTGGGTGCTGCGTTGGGCCTAGGAGTGGAGATGGCACTCTAAAAAGTGAGTGGAGCCAGGACAAAGAAGGAACAGGATCAAGAGCTCAGTTGGAATGAAAAATAAAAATAGAGAGATCCTGAAGTTGAGCTTGACTAGATGTGTCCGTGTGATTTTTTTTGGGAAGTAACGTGGAAGGGGGTTGCCACTCCCATCCAGGTACCAATTAGTCCTGACTCTGCTCAGTGTCCAAGCCAAAAAGTCAACTATCACTTGGTTAGGATAATTAAAAATGAAATTTAATTAATTAAATACATTTAATATGATTACCCCCACATATATATTTATTTCACCATGTATCCCTTCTCACATGTTAAAGATTTACAAGGGTCCAGGCACATAACTCTGAGCCATGTAGTTCAGAGTCTTAGGTTTCTGATCTGATTGGGCAGAGAGGGGCATGTGGAAGAAGATTGTCCACTCTTAAATCAGGAAAAAGGCAAATTAGGAATGTTCGGATATTTTGTATTGCATTTCCTATGAGTCCCAACGACCAGGCTTGAATGATACAGGATGGGGGTTACAATGTAGGAGAGTGGGGGGGTGCCAGGTTGCTTCCTCCTGGCTTAATATCAGTTGAAATAGTTAAATGGATCCACCAGCCTCAAAGATAGTATTTGTATCCTACTAATTAGCTTACTATCCCAAGGTGATAGGAAAAGAGGCCTTAGCTTTTTTGGCTGAAATTTCAAACAGCTGCCTTTCAGGCTGCAACATGTTGTTACAGGTCCTCCCTTTGTGTGAGATGGGCAGCTATATAAATGTAATAAATACATACATACCTTTCAGTAACAGTTACTGGGATGCAAACTAAAGAGAAGGGCCATAGCCTTCAAGTTGGGTTTTTTTTTTGCAGATTTTCCCAAAACTTCTGGTTGGCCAGTAGGAAAGATGAACAGTTGGGTATTTAATTTAATAGAGCAAGGCTCTCCTGGTCTTACGCAATTCTGTTGAATAATAAATATAGCAGTTTTCCTGGACCTGATGCCTCCAGGTGTGCACACATAAGTCCCTGCTGGCTGGGGTTATGGAGTTGACATACAACCCACCTAGACGGCCCCAATTTGAAAATACTCCAGTGTGTAGAATATTTCTGCATCCGAATCATCAGCATAACAGGTGAGCTTTTTTATCACCCACAATATGTTCTTCAATCTGTGCTTACCTTCATGGCATGTTAGCCAGGAGTTTGCTGTTCCCATCTGTTGCTTCTCCTTAACAGCTAAACTTGATGAGGAAATGGCGCCTCCCAGTCCCAGTGTGGCAGCAGCTCATTCTGCTTTACAAGAGGGGATCTTTGTGGGAATTGGGCTTTTACTTCTCTTTGTTTCAGATCGCTTCAGGTGGCACTTAGAAGACTGCCTGCAGCTTCCCTTCTTTGGTTTCAAGCAGTGTTTCTCAACCTTGGCGACTTTAAGATGTGTGGACTTCAACTCCCAGAATTCCCCAGCCAGAATTCTGGGAGTTGAAGTCCACATACCCTGAAGTTGCCAAGTTTGAAAAACACTGCTTTAAATTAAGAAATACAAAGAGAAGCCACAATTATTTGAAAGATACCAGAATGGCAGCTCAGTAAACAGGATTAAATTGCAAGCCTGTTAGTGGACAGCTGCTAATTTGCATTTTATAATTAGCATGACTTCATGCTGTGCAGTAATTGCTTGGGGATTGTACAAGTGTGCAACCTGGTGCCCGCCATGGTCCTGAAGCTTGTAAAAAGCTTATGAGGAATAAAAGTGAAACCTCAACTCTCAAAACAACAATTCAGCACAGGAGGGAAAATAATGTCTACTTTTCATGCACCCCCATTTTACTATTTTTCTGCAGTTTTATCATATTTGTAGGTAATTTTTAATGGAGAGGAACATTCACATGGTGTACTCAGTTGGTACCACTGTTTCAAATTTTGCAAGTCCTTAAATTAGCAGATGATTTTGATGCAACAAGCATTATAATCCGCTTAGATTCTGGACAGTTCAGCCTTATCATGAATACTCTGCTGGTACACAGTCTGTTTCTTCGCACTGGTGTAAGGGGCTAAAAAAGCAGCAATGATTCTTACAGCATGGCATCCTAATTATAGATCTTGGTCTCCTACTCCCTTTATAATCAGGATCACAAAGTGCAGTTTGTTCTTGATATTTTGTAATTTTGGCCAGTTTGGAAATAGGAAACAAGGATCAGTTTGGGTAACCTGCTAAACAAGTAAACCCTTTACCTGTTTAGCTAGGTGCACTAATGGAAAGAGGGAGGTGGGAGCAAACAGGCTCTGTACATAAGTCCACTAATCCTTCACAATAAACATAATTCTCTAGAATACGTTTAATGTTGTGCCTGAATGATACCTTGACCTGTGTAAAACTTGTACAAATTCTTTGATATCAAACCATTGTTTTGAAGAGCATGAAATGGGTATTTTTTAGAAGCCATGCAAGGTTGCTAGGGTAGCACATGCCTGGTGTAGCCCTTTCTGTTCATGATTCATCCATCCAACCTCTATCTCCTTCATCTTCTAAAGAGCTGAGTAGCTTTCTTCTGATTCCCAGGCCAATCCTATCTAGTTCTAAAAGGTCAACTATGACATCTGACATCTTTCTACTTCCTGGGCATCCTGGGAAAAACTGAATGTTTTCATTGAACCTGAGGTAATTGTAAGCCACCCAGAGTCACCCTCTGGGGGAGATGGGTGGTATATAAATTTAATAATAAATAAATAGATGCCACATCCAGCAGTTCACAATGCTGTGTTGGGGCTTAAGCCTTACCCTATATATAGCCATCTTGTGCTTTAAGTCTTTCCTAATTTCACCTCTTTGCACCTCAGAAAGGTGCTGTGAGGGTGGCTCTTCTGTCCTGTTTATGAGCTTTCCAGAATCATAATGCAGTCATACTGTGCAGCCAGTATACACCTGTAAATAAGGGGAGAGTTAAAATGCATGCCTGTCTATTA